TAATATAATTATATAATAATATATAATATATTATTATATAATCTTTTTTTCAATTTTACTATACTATTTTATTCCAATTATATTGTAATTTTTTAATTTCATTTTATTATTTCATATATAAACAATAGTACACATCCAAATTCATATAAAATAAAATTTTAAGATTTTTTTTTTCATTTTTTTGTCTATTTTATTAATTTATTTAAAAAATTTCACTATTTTTTCAATTCTTTAAAAAGAAGCCCCTTATGGCCAAACCCAAAGCCCGGCCCAAGCCCGCTTGGGCTCATGCCATGGGCTGTCAGGCCTAACCTCTTAAGGATCCCAATGGAGGCAGGCACAACCCACATAGACCCACTAAACATTGGTAGCCAATAAAGTTGTGCTTTGATGGCCCAGCATACCCAATTTATACCTCTACTCTCCCATAAGTCAAGTGAAAAATTTTTTAAACTATCCCTAAGGTTTAAGAAATTGACTAACTATGCCCCTACTATTTCAGTATTATCTTAAAATACCCCGTTTTTAACAATTGTGGCGATCATTAAATCTTAACAGAAACACACGAAAAGGAGTTTTTACCCCCACCGCGGAAGTGGAGAAGAACATGTCGCCTGCAACGACAACCACTGCAACTTCCGTCCGGCAGTGCAAGAATGAATTATCACCATCATCTCTTAGAATTTAGAAATCCTGCCGTCAATATTGCCAGCCTTGAATGGTCTATACACTGTTAACTGTCAATATTACCAGTCATCACCGTCGGCCCTATCTTCTTGTTCTTCGTCTTCAAGTGGCAGACGATTTTTGTCTGCTGAAGTGGGCTAAACCTAGCTAATAGCGATGTCGACTACTACTATGAACCTGATCACAACTATAATCAGGTTTGGGATGAGTGCGACTTTTATTGCGTTTGTATGCAGAAGACTAATATGCGGAAGGATCCGTACATGCAGTTGAATCCCACCCAGTATTCGAAATGAGCTCCAGAACTGATATTGAGCAGGTATGCTTGATTCTCTGTTCTAAATTGGGAAAAAAAGAGATGCAGCAGCACCTCCTAAATTTAGATGTTATCCAAAAGTAAATAAAAGCTGAAAAAAGAGGAGGCATGAAAAGAAGCTGGACTGGGTTGATCCATGACAGGAATCTTGTAAATTCTTTCTTTGTTTATTTTTCCCTTCTTGTAAAGCATATAGTTGCTACATGGTGGCATTTTCTGTTCGCTAGAGTTGAAATTGAAGAATCCAATTTGTCTCTCCCAAAATTGGCCCATTTTGGCTTCCAAGACCATCCAACCACAATTCCAACAAGAACAGCAATCCATAGAGGACCGAAAAACCCCATGGAAGAGAATAGAATTGATAACCCAAGGAAAAATAGAAGAAAAAAGGTGGAGTAGGAGTAGGAGGAATATTTTTAATAAAATTTTTAAAATAGATTAATTTTTCAAAAATAATATTAAATAAGAGCAAAAACACTCCTCTTGTAAATTATTCATCAGCGTCGCCGCAACACCTCCGCCTATCTCCACCACCAAGAGAAAGAGAAAGAGAGTCCAATGGCCAGTTGGATCTCTCTTCTGTATCTTTTCATCTTCAGCTTCATTTACACGGAGGCTCAACTTGTCCCGGCCATATTCATGTTTGGAGACTCCCTAGTAGATGTGGGCAACAACAATCACCTCAAACTTTCACTTGCCAAGGCCGATTTCCCTCACAATGGCGTTGATTTTCCCGGAGAGAAGCCCACCGGCAGGTTCAGTAATGATAGGAATGCAGCAGACTTTCTGGGTACGTGAAACTACATCAATACAGAGTGTCTAGTGTAGACAACCTTAACTCTTCTTTTCGGTTACTTTTTATTTCTTTCACATTACTAAAAAGCGTCTAATCATCAACTTGGATAGTTGGATGAACTCTTGACGTTCATAGGGTATCTTATCTAACATAATAATTAAGCTAAATCTACTGAGCAAGCAGAGCAGATTAAATGGCATATATATATATATATATATATATATATATAACTGTAGGCGTGTCTTTTCTGAGGAAATCAGATCAGATATTTTGGTTTTCATCCCATTATACAGTCTTGGCGCTATAAACGTGAGAGCAATGAGATTACTTACTTGAGATACCCTACCCAGGCAAACAGGAGCTCTGCCTCTGCGTCCCATTATTTGAGAAACTCAACTGTAACTATAACAATAACCATTGGTATCACTGTACAGAGTAACAGAGGTAGAAGCTTATCATCTTGATTTGGTTTGGACAGCTGAGAAGCTGGGATTGCCGACAATAATCATTGGTATCACCAAAAAGAGCAATGCATACCTGGGTGGAGCCAGCTTTGCTTCGGGAGGAGCTGGAATTCTGGAGTGCAGTGATACACTTTTTGTAAGCACTCTGCACTCTTGTTTTGTGTGTGCGTGAGATAGAGAGTTTGGTAGGGCGATTTTCCTTTTGGTTGTGTTGTCTAAAGTGGGCGGAGGTGGCGGAGATAGATAGAGGTATTGTCGAAAGTTTTTGGAGGCGGCGGCACTGATGAATAGTTTGCAAGTGGAAGAAGATGAACAGTATTTTTGTCCTTATTTAATATTATTTTTTAAAAATTAACCTATTTTAAAAATTTTATTAAAAATATTATCTTTATTGATATTAGGGCCCAAAAGTTTCCCTTATCAGCTATAATTCAAAAAAAAAAAAATCCGCTAAATAATAAAAAGAGGAAGACAAAAGATGAAAAAAAGGATGGAAGAAGATGCAAATATGGAATGTTTGTTCATTTTCTTCTTTCAACCCCCTTCTTGTAAAGCAGCTGGACTGGATTGATCCTTGATTAGTTCCCGTATTCTTGAATTGAAGCTTTTTGACCCTATGAAGAATTCTGATATGGGTTAGTTGCAGTTATTGCTGTTGTTGGTGTTCTCTTATTGGTTTACTCTTCTTGTACTTTGCCTTCAAGTGGCGGATGATTTATGGTGTGATGGTTTTTGATTTACGTATCCTCCTTTTGATATTCAGATTTAAAGTTAAAAGGTATTGTTCAGTTGGTGTGATAATATTGTTCTTAATATTAAAGGGTATTTTGGGTATAATTTAACATTAAATCAAACATGTGAAATCATGTGTAAATATGTGACAGAAAGTTATTGTCAGAAACAATAAGAATACTTTAAGACAATATTGAAATAATAGGGGTATGGTTAGTCAATTTTCTAAATCTTAGGAGTAATTTAAGAAATTTTCCTATAATAAAAATATAAGAGGAAAAGTAAATTGATTATAGGAAGAGAAATGACAATTTGACCCAATTTACACCTCTACTCTTGTTTTCAGTGTTGAACGGAAAAAAAAAAGACTTAATAATAGGAGAGAAAGAGTAGATTTGGGGGGGTGTTGGAGAAAGAGAGAGAGTGTGTGTGTGCATGCATGCCGGGAGGGGAATAGTGGTTACCCATTGGATAACCGTGACCCAGCCCAATCCAACCCATTAAATAGCACTTCCAACTAGTGACCCAAGCCAAGTGGTTATAACCAATGTTTTAAAAACTGATCTATAATCAGAAGCGTTTTGGCCACTGGTTTCTGGGTTGATGGTTCAACCGTCTAGTTTGAATGAATAACCCGTCTAATTAAAATAAAAAAATGATCAAAACTCTTCAATGGGTTGAACGATTCGACCACTCAAATCAATGGTTTATTGACCAACTCAACGATTTTTTATTAGGGATCGGATTTGGGGTAAAACGGAACCAGTTGCTTGAATGATTTTCAGTCAGAACAATCCGATCATCTAGGTCAGTGGCAAATCGAAAACATTGATTATAACCCAAACCGTTAATTAATGGGTGGGTTAGTGGGTTGGGTAAAAAATTGCCGCCCCTAGAAATGACAATTTTGTCTATAATGTCCAGTCGAACAAATTTAATTAAAAAAAATAAAAATGAAAATGCCGAGTTGTTGCATACAAAGAATCCAAATGCCACTGTTCTCTCTACTTCATTTTTCTGAAACCAAACAATGTTTGTTAGTTCTGGAAACTAGACATTATAAACTTGACATAAACTTTCTATTAACTAGACAATCGAATTTAAGTAGACTGTGAATTTTAATAAATTTTATTAATTAGTTTTGAATGAATAACATTAATATAAGGTTTCAAACTAATTAATAAAATTTGTTAAAATTCACAGAGTACTTATATACGATTTAAATTATAAAAATAATTAAAACTTTAAAATTTATTTTAATTGTAAAGTCCTTCAACAAGTATTTAAAAATAATATAAACACGTCACTTTTTTAATTATATTAAATAATTTAAAACTGTTTTAGAAATATTGGCAATTAAAATTGTAAAACAAATTTATAAATCACTATTAACATTTGAAAATTAATATCCATTCAAACGCCAACTTTTTTTTGTACTTAACGCAATACACACTAACTTTTCAACGAAGGTGGTAATAGCGGGATTAGAATCCACGTCTCTGCTGGGCCTATCCATTTTAATAAGTCAGTGTTTGGGGTGCTTTCCTTTTTAAATGGGATTTTTGAACAAGTGCTTAGTAAATAAACAAATTTTTAGTGCTTGTGTGACATCATGGACAAACTTTTCTTTATAAAATGGCTTTTCAAAACGTAAGAAGCCAAAAGCCCTTTTTTTTTTGTTTGCTTATTCTGGATGTGCTTTCTGGGGCCAAAAAGCTTTTTCTGGGGGCTTTTTCCATTATATGCCATTTTTTTGGATGTTTTGGGTGTTTTTGACTTCTAACAAGCAATAAACTGCAGAAGCACTTCCAAACGTAAAATATCGGCTCTCATCTCATACTTTGAGGACTTTGAGACCACAAAGACCACACAATGCACAGATAAATGAGACTTATCTCTTTACTCGTGGAAGAGTAGACTATATATAGGAGCGTTCAAATTTGTACATGTTATTGCTAGCGTAGAAAAACTCCGCCTTGACCATGCCGCCTTCTTCTTCTTCAAGGAGTGTATTCGAAATTGGAAAATACATGGCATCGCTTCTGAGGATCGAGCCAGGGATATCCAGCTCCACTCGTTCTCCGTCTGTTGCTCCGCCGAAGCCTCTTTTGATCGCTACACCATCTGCTGCAGGAGAATTCCCGATACTTGTGTTCCTCCACGGTTATCTTCTCTACAACTCTTTCTACTCTCAGTTTATCCTACACATCGCCTCTCATGGCTTCATCGTCGTCGCTCCTCAGGTCAGTCACCTTCACTATCACTGTCTTTAACTCATCATCCACAAACACAAACACTCACGGAGACACTTTTAATTTCTTCTCTCTTCTCGCGACATTAAAAGTACTGTTTTAGATAACCCAAGCCTTTAGGGTATGTTTGATTTGAAGGAAAAAGTAGGAAAAGGAAGGGAAACGTAGGGAAACCTCTACAAACCTTGTACAGGTTTGCCTGCCTTTTCCTTTCTTTCCCTAAACCAAACACAGCCTTAGGAAACGTTGTCTTAGCCATTTCTGCTTTTTCTACGAGTCCTTCAGTCTTGATAACATAGCCATTATTGTTGGTATAGGTTGGAATTTAGAAAACACGGACGAGGGTAAGTCAGTAAATGGGCCTAATAACGAACCACTGAAACGGGGAAAATATATTGATGAGATGGTCAGATCGATTTGTGTTACTTTTTCTTTTTGAGCTGTCGACAAACAGAGAGGTGGCCCGCCACCACGCTGAACTTATTGATACCAACACAGAGATAAACAATGTGCATTACGGACCTTCAACATCACAACCCCTAAGAGCGATTTGTGACCATATAAATTTCTCCAGATTTCGTCTCTTCTCCTTTTCTTCTTCACCAAGAGAAAGAGACTGAGAGCTTTTTGTATTCTCTGAGACTGAATGACGACGGAAATGGGTCCTACACTCCTACTGGGGTGTTGAACCCATGAAAGTTATTTTTTGCAGTGTAGTAAGGACACCTCAAATATTCGGGCTACATATTGCTGTGTGTATTAATGAAAGCTTGCTTATACCATTGGTCCTGATGATTAATGGTTTCCTGTTTGGACAATATGTGTATAGCTATATACTGCTGCCGGACCCGACACAAGCGAAGAGATAAAAGCGGCTGCTGCAATAACAGATTGGTTGGCAGATGGACTGCAAAGTGTACTTCCTGAACATGTTCAGCCATGTCTAAGCAAGCTAGGATTAGCTGGGCACAGTCGTGGAGGCAAGGCCGCGTTTGCGCTTGCTCTAGGACTTGTGACGGGTGGTACTAGTACTAGTAGTAGTCTAAAATTTTCGGCCCTGATGGGCATTGACCCAGTGGATGGAATGGGCAAAGGAAAGCAGACCCCACCTCCAGTCCTCACTTATGTCCCTCGTTCTTTTAATTTGGACATGGGAGTGTTGGTGGTGGGGTCGGGGTTGGGCCAAGTGAAGAGGAACCCTCTATTTCCTCCCTGTGCTCCCAAGGGAGTGAACCACGAGGACTTCTTCAATGAATGCCGCCCACCAGCATTCTATTTTGTGGTTAAAGACTATGGTCATGCAGACATGCTGGACGATGATACCAAGGGAATCAGAGGAAAAGCCACCTATTGTCTCTGCAAAAATGGCAAGTCCAGGGAACCCATGAGAAGATTTGTAGCCGGGATCGTCGTTGCATTCATGAGGGCCTATTTGGAAGGCAATGCCGCTGACTTGACTGCTATCGGGGACGGCAGCCAAGTTCCGCCAGTACAGCTTCAGACCATTGATTTTCTTATTTGAAGATTATACATTTTTCCTGGTAGCTAAGCTAGCTGATCGAGGAGTAAATTATCTTATAGCTAGATGTTCAACTGTTGATGTATGGCATGGCTTATTCACTATGAATTAAATCACCCAAAAGAAAATTTACAAAAAGAATCAGAGCCCTCTTATTTCTACTAATGGACAGGCTGACAAACCAGGCCTACTTAGCGTTGGTGTTGGGCTTGGGCTTGAACAAAACATTTGGTGGTGCTGCAACCTCACGCTCAACTTATTTATTTGGGTTGCTTCCACAATTCATTTGGCGGCCATTCTAAACCTCAAAGGGCCCATATCATCCTTACCTGCTCAAATCTAGCCTTAGCAATCATGTACCTGAAATGTATGATGGCAATTGGCAAACACTATATCGCTGAAACAAGTAAAAAGAAAGCTAATGCTGGGTATTTCCAATTTTCTGTCTCTAACGACAGATAGGCGTGGTGTCCTGTCACTGGCCCATTAAAATGTGGAGCCCGAGCCGGTTTGGTTGCGTATAGGATGCGTTGTGTTAAATTGTTAATTGAGCCGTATGGGGCCCATATGAAGCCCAGCTTGGAACGTCAGAACTCAGAAGCCATGTGAGTGTGGCAGAAAGAAACCCATGCGAATGGGCACATAATTATGACTTATGAAGAGGCTTCGCTGCACTAGCCTCTAGCCAGCCGGGAACTGAGCATGTTCTACAGAACCCAATGATCCTAATAATGGGGCTTTCGAATTATTCAGCCCATCGGGATTTGAACACTGACGATGCTACCTTCATTACATGCTAGCTAGCTTGAAAAGTTTCTACGTAGTATTGTCAAAATTGTGGTTCTTTTGAAAGGTAAAATATCATTGTTTGCGCTGTAAGAAATTGCCCAACTAGTATCCATATTTAATATTTTCATCCCCATTGTTGAATCAAAAGTAGGGGTGTAAACAGGGCAGCCCAACCTACCCGACCCATTGGACCGAGCCCTAGTTAGTGCTCGAATGTTTTCGCTTCTCTCAACTTGGGATTTTCATTGTTACTTCCCAGTCCCCAGCAAGAGAGAGGGACATATGTGAAGTTAACTCTTGGCTAGTTGGATCGCATGTCCTAAAACGTGGCGTTTCTAACTGCTTCACTGAAAATATCTACCAGTAAAGAAGTTCATGAAATAAATAAATTAGAAACTGAAAACCATTATTTCATCATCTTTATAATCTTAGGGGCCGTCTGAGAACAGCTGAAGTTGATGAATTCAAAAGCTTTCTCTTTTGGTGAATAAGTTTTTATGGGGGATATGGGATTCTTAATAGCTGAAGCTGAAGTTGGATGGATCATTATATTATATCCTTAAAAAAGTTGGATCGGCAACATAATCCTGCTTTGCCATTCCATTCCCTTTTCCACATTTAAAATCTTAACAAACTCAATGTTTTCCAGGCCATTAAACAGGTGTTTGGCATCGGAGATGGAAATATCACAAAAATTTGTATTGGGCATGTAGAGTTGTAAATACTGTTTTATAAAAAAAAAATGGTGCTTATTTTTTGTTTGGAATTGGTGCTGCCATAGGCTGTTTTCTGATAAAACAGCACTGATTTAGGGGATGTTTGGAACCATGGCCATTTTTCTGAAAAATGGTGCCACGTCGGATCCACATAGGTGTTTCAACAAATGCCAATATATATGATTGTTTGGTTCATGCGCATTTTTTGAAAAAACGCTTGAACCATGGGCATGCCTCGTAAATCGGAACCCCACTGATGCATGAAACGCCAAGTTTGACGTTTCATGCACAAGTGAACCGTTGCCCCCAATGGTTGACTGATTGGTGATTACGTGTATCCTATGTGGTGCTTACGTGTCAGCACATAGATTAAAAACGATGATGAAAATCACCTTACCAAACAACATAGTGTTGTTCACTGCCAACTGGCAGAAACACTCCCAAACAAAATCAAAGCGTTTAACGTTTTTTTTTTTTTCTTTTTTTCTTTTTATGAAAAACAGGTCTTGGAAGCATGGGCGTTTTTTCTTGAAAATCTGTCCCAAAAAATGCCAGACGCTTCCAAACACCATCTTAGTGGTTTTGTTTGGTACCAATGCTGGCAACAACGCTTTCAACATGGTCTATATTGTCCAACGTTCAAGATGATGCCACATCATTGCATTGCTTGCAGCAACACAACATTTTCTCAGAAAAACATTGAATTTGGTGTTGCTCTAGACCACATTTTCCCGATTTCCAAAGCGTGGTCTAGAGCAACGTTTTTTCTGGAAAAACGATAACAAACAAGGGGTAATTATTTGAAGCACCAATTTTTTTGATGTGGCGCTGTTTTCTCAAAAAATGGCATCGATTCCAAACACCGCCTAGAACAACTGAAGTGTATCTGAACTTAAATTCGATTAGGGGTAGCAATTTTTCACCTAACCCACCCAATATCTAACCCGCTCATTTACTTGGCGGGTAGTGTGATCGACCCATCACCCAACCCACCCATTTAAATGGGTTGGGTTGGGTTGGGTTGTGGATAACTGTTGGGTTAACCATTGCAGACATTAGTATTAATTCCTTAGTTTTTTTTTTAATTTTCTTCATTTGAATTAAATAGTTTATAATTAATGCATTAATTTTCTATTAATTATTGATTAAATTTAGTTTTGTCTTAATCAACACTCTTCATCCAACATAAATCCAAATCAATTTGACCCAAGTCCAGACCAGTTCGATACGATCTGACCCAATCAAACATATATTGATCCGGGTTGACCCGAATCCGAAATAGACATCGAATGGGATGGCTCGATATCACTTGCTTTGCCCGGTTTGGGTCATTTGGGTCGACCCGAATCTGAAACGGGTTGGACCGGGTGTGGTCCAACCCTAAACCGCCCCACTTGCTTTGCCCAGTTTGGTTCATATCCATACAACACGACCCAAATCTGGCCCGATCCGATTTACTTCTTTTGATCCGCTTCAGGCCAATCGGTTCGGCCTCAAACCCATGCACAAACCTGATATGAGTCAACCCAAGTCAATCCACCATTTTTACTGAACCGGTCCGGTCAGGGGTCTGGTCCGATCGGGTTTTGTTTGACCGGACTGAACCAGTTCAGGTGGGGTCTAGTCCGACCGGACTGATTTGGATCTAAACGGTTCAACCACTCTTGAACTTGATGTGATTACCTCGAAGACAATCCAATTAGATAGTTCAAGTTGGTCTGACCGGTTTGAGCCTATGTGGTTCGTCAAATCCGAAATCCAAACATAGTTAAATGTATAAAAATAACATGCATGCAATGTAATTTGAACCTTCACCACTTGTATAAATAACAACTACTATTACCACTAAGCTATGACTAACTTATTTGTTAAAAAGAAGTTAGATTTTGTTTTAAGTACATAAATATAAGATTAATGGGTTTGGGCGGGTTGGATAGGGTTAAAGTGGGTTTGGGTTGAACCCAACCCATTTAATTTTATATAAATGGGTCATTAACGGGTTGGCGGGTTAAATGGGTTGGGTTGAAACTCAACCCAAACCAAACCCCAACCCACCCAATTGTCATCACTAAATTCGATTATTGGAATTGAGATGATTACGGCCCCCTATGGGCTTTCAAAGAAACAATTTAGGCCCCTATCATCTAAAATGACACTTAAACGCAAACTTGCTCTTTTTAAGCCAGAGTCTACCTAATTTGTAGAATTCAGATGCAAACCCTCAAACTGCATCTACCCGATCAACTCAGAACCATTGGGTAAAGTCATGTTCGGGACTCCTGAAACTTAATTTTGATGGGGCCAAATTTAATTCTAAGTCTAGGATTGGTCTGATTGTTTGGGATGATAAAGGAGAAGTAGAGGTGGCTCGAGATATTTCTATTGTGGCCAATTCGGCGTCTACTACTGAAGCCTTAGCGCTCTTTGAAGGCATCAAACTAGCCTTTCAACTGGATCTTCATTCTATTATTTTTGAATGTGATGCAAAAATTCTAATTGATTTTTTGTTGAAGGTCAACCCAAATCCTCCTTAGAGCCTTTTCGTACTCATCTATTCCTGCAAGAATCCGTTTAACCACCTTCGTAACTGTTGATCAGTTACATTCACTCCCAGATCAGGTAACAAGGCAGCCCACAAGCTGACAGAGTGCGTTGTCTTACTCCTCACCCAAAACTTGGCTTCAGTTCTAGAGTTTTTGAAAGACATTTGCAATTTAGATGTAACTGATAGTTAGATATATCGATCTCCAAATTAAACATTTACAGTATACCCACAATACACCCACCAAGAAAATTAAAACTACTCAAATTGCACAAGTGGGGGAAGCGGCATTCAGAATTCCAGTGCTCTTATAAATTCGTAATTCATCCAAACACTAACGTAAATTTTAACTTTCTTCACCCTTCAAAAGGGTGAGTTTCATAATTGACTAACATGTAAGTCAAAATAGAGATAAAAGTATTGGCCGCCACACAACATCATCATCCAAGCCTTATTCTATGGAGTTTGCAACATGAATTTTGTTTTGTTTCATCTTTCCATTCTTCTCCTTGCATGCCTTGTTTTGTCTCTAACGATTTTCCTTGTGTGGGATTTTCTGCCATCCACAAATTACCTAAAAGTCCGTTTCCTAAACTATTACTTACTAGGGGTGGTTTTTTTAGCCACTATGTTTTACATGGGTCAATACTTGTCTCCTACCTCATTGGAGGTTACAACCTCTTGATTTTTCAGATTTAAACTCTGAATCCTAAACCCTAAACCTTAAAAATCCTAATTGTAAACTTATAAACTATATAATCTAATTTTTTTAACCTTTAAACCTTAAAGTCTAAATCCCTAAACCCCTAAACCCTAACCTTAAAATATAAACTCTAAACCCTTAAACTTCAAAGCCAAAATCCCTAAACCTTTAAATCCTAACCTTAAACCTTAAGAGGGTGTTTGGTTTACATTTATTGAGTAAACGTTTTATACTTGTGTGTCTGTAAAATCGAGAAAAGCAATTAATGAGGGCGTTATGACACATAGGTGTCATTAGGCACCACATCAGCAAAGTGCCAATAAACATCTACCCGTTTTAGTAAGCTCCAAAATGAAGCTTCTTGAAATGAGAAAGATGCATAGAAATC